AGCAAACTTATATCACTAAAAAAGGTCAACTAAGTGGATATATTTCACCATTCTCGGGGCCAAATATCCCAACTTATGGGGATTAAAATCCCGTGCCACAACTGCAACCTCAAGCAGAACACCAACAGTGTTCAGCATTCTTCAGGAAAAAAACCCAAGATGCGAGAATGGGCCCATGCCTATACACCCAAATATGCCAAATTCGTTCCAGTCGTGGGTGAAAAATCATCAAGTTCGCCCTGATTTGATTGCTGATCCCAGTAGCTATCTCCTGCTACTCTGTCCATTCTTCGTTCAAAGTACCATAATTTTGCTGAAGTCCTGCCCAAAAAAGATAAACCCCACGAAATCTTCTACACCCCAAAATTATGGCAATACATCCTGATTGATACGAAACTTTCTTGAAAGGAATCCAAACGCACATATCATATAGTGTTGATCCACAATATATTTTTTAAAAACTATAACCATGGATCTAAAATATTTTCCAAATAATGAAACACTATATTTTGAATCTCCCAAACAAATGTCCCTATATTTTGATGGCGAAACCCTTCAGAAATTGGGAAATCAGGACGCAGCATCTGGCTGCGGCGAAAAGCGTCGAATTTGTAGAGACGCCTTCGAACCCTCACCACGACTCTTCCTTACAGCCAGGATTCGGAGAAGTACTCAATGGGTAATGGGAAGAATATATATATATATAATGGTTATATAATGGGTATATACTTGGGGATATATACGGGGATCTATGGGATTTACAACTCTGTCTCTGAGTATGACAAAATATCATGGGGATACAATGAACCGAAATTTGGGATTTCACCAACAAAAGTGAAGATTTAAGAATCTCAATCTTACAACGGATTGGTTTACCGGAAAACTTACGGGAAACATCAGCGCTTTTTACATGGCAATTTACCTGCAAATCTAGGAGTTCTTGCCCAAAAATTCCCTTGAAGCTCCGGAAACCATCACTAATTGGTCCGTTTCGTCATGGTACCCCCAGTCATCATCCATGGATGACCATGACTTGGTAAACCTATGGTGACGTGGGGATCCCCCAGTTTTGTGAAACCTTCTGTGGTGACGTGAGAATCTGCAAATCTGCAATGGTGCTACCAATTTTACAGCCCACAGCTTCCCTCTTGAGGGGTTGACATGATGGGATATGACCCCTCCACTGCCGATTGGATCCCACTGCCGAATGTATTTAGCTAGCTCCACCGCAAGGGCCGAAATGATCATTGGTCATTTTCAAGGTGCCACAACATCCCACCCCTTTATCCAAAAGCCATAAGGCTATATGTCAAAACCCTGGTATCCTGTTCACGCCAAAATAGCTGGCAGTTGGGGATGTTGGAAACCGATCAATTGCTGACCCATCCCCGACTCACACCGCTCGAGATTTTCACCAGGACACAAAAAGGCAGCCAACTCAAACATACACCACAATCTGTCAACCTGGATCAAATGTTGTTGTTGTTGTTGATGATGAAATATTGGATCAAATGCTGGTGAAATATTTAAGCGAATTATCGATTGGAATTTCAAGACCCTAAAATCGAGGTACTGTACCATATAAAGCCATATGTTGTGACCACATCCCTTGACATAGACCTTTGCATAGGCCTTAGATATGGTAGGTGCCTTCAATCTAGCTACCTGAAATGGAAATTGAAATTACATCCAGTTATATCTTGTATGTAATATATTTGCCCACCCAAAAAGGGGTATACGAGTGAATCCTTAGCATTCTGATGGTGAGGCTGAGGGCAATGGTACATCCCCAAAATCCATCAAGTTTGGGATATATGCAGACATGTGAACATCTATACAGCAATATGTTCCATGGTCAAAACATCGTGCACAATGTGGGTCTTCCATACCAAAGTGAAAATCCACAACAGGGATTGGGTGAAGAACCCGCGGGTGTTTCTTGGGGCAGAATTCACCATGGTTAGTCGTAGTTGCGCACTTATGTCACGATGATACCAACGTCCTTTCAAAATGGCTTTTAGATGTATGTAGGTCAATATGTATATATATATATAATATACATGGAGCTGGGAGGCTTCCATCTGGATGTACTTGCAGCATCCCATAATAACAATGCCACGATTACAGGACTTGTGTGGCCTGATACATCTCCCAATGCACATGAAGCCAATATCCATGGCATGCTGCTGATCCGGTCCCTCTTTGATTCATGGGGTGATATCGTATTTGAAGAGTGGGGGAACTAAACATGATCACTCACCAGTTACTTCCTGATACTGAGCTTCCAAAAATCAAATGCAGAAGGTGCATTTGACTTTGCCATACTTTTCCATTCGTCCATAAACTTACAATTCCTGGGCTTGGCACTTCCGGAAAAAACAAAGAACATGTCTATACTGGTTGGTGGTTTCAACCCCTCTGAAAATATGAAAGTCAGTTAGGATTGTTATTCCCTATATATGGAAAAATAAAATTCATGTTCCAAACCACCAACCAGCAATAACATCCATGTAAGACTATTGGGGAAAATAGAAAATGTTCCAAACCACCAACCACATATAAGTATGTAAAATATATGTTCATCCAAGAAGTTCCCCCCAGCATTTCTATCCACTCGTCTGCGCAAGCCAAGCTACATATGTCCTGAGCCAGGGACGTAAAAGAGCGAAGATCTTCGAACGGATGACCCCCCAAATTCTGACCGGGGCATCTACCCTCTGGTAAACATACAAAAAACGATGGAACATCGCCATTGTTCATAGGTAAATCACCGAACTAAATGGCCATTTTCACTGGCTATGTTAGTTTACCAGAGGGTAGTTTTTCTTTCTGTTTTCCCTAGGAAAATCCCTCTCAGTGGGTCTTTTGTATCGGATACTATCGTGTCAGTCGCTTAGATTACCTGAAGACATTTCCAGGTTCGTAGCAGCTGGCAAATGATGCCAGTCTGACAACCACCTGTACTAGTGTTAGTAACAGTAGTAATGCTACGAGTCAAAATCTAATATGCCCGGAACATCCGCCATGAATCATTTCTTTGACTTGTCGATATTTCCCATTCAATGGCGGATTACTATATGAATTGATAATTGATATTTCATAATTTCCCATCATGAATCATTTAACTTGTCATTTCCAAGGTCTTTTTCCCATGGACATGTTGATTTTGCCATCGGATGCATCAAAACCTGGACGACAAATTTGAGGTTACCCCCTAAATGGTGGTACATTGCGCTTACAATTTGGGCCTCCCAATGAAGAAACAGCTGGTTCATTAATCCTTGATTAACATGACTGTGTACGTGAATCAACATCCATTCATCGGCGATTTTGGCGTGAACAGAAGCGTGCCGTTTGATTTTGATAACATACCCATTTAAAACAAGACTAGACGACAGCTGTTGATGGCCTCATGATCGTGGGGCCTGAAGTGTTCGAACTCGTCCCAGGTGAATTTCTGCACATCAGCCTGCTTCTTGCACACACTCCATTCTTCAAGAAAGAGTTGATGCTGAAATCTTAAGAATATGCGGAGGTGTCTCCCTCATCCACACTCAGCTGAACTGTTTGCACCAAAGTATTGGCTTCGCCGAGTCCAATTCATCCCCAATGGGCCCCGCCCATGCCGGGCATGGTGTTGCCGGGCATGCCCCTTGGCTGACGGGGAACCGCTCACTGAGTAGCCTGGGTTCGTGAGCTTGCCATGTGAATCATATTGCACTGGGTCCCAGTCTCGTCAATCTGCTGCATGTTTCCCATGCCAAGACTTGCTTGAAGGAAACTTCAGTATCAAAACAATACTATCTTCACCAACTTTACCAATATTCAATAAACGCTGATCAATAGCAGGGCCTGCCAAAGCCCGATCCCAATGTGCTGGCCCCCAAAAAAATGGGACTGCATTGGGAGATCGTTATTTGCGCATTGATTTTGTTTGCCAGGGTTCCAGTGCCTTCCATTTGGATGTGCACGCCATTTTGTAAGTGTGTCTAATCCTGGTGAGGCAACTGGTTACATAATGGATCTTGCCTCCATGAAAAAATATGGAGATCGAGCACCCACAAAACAATATATATATATACATACAGAGAAATACACATATTAAGCAGTGAAAATTACTATCGCCTATACAATATGTATGTATGTACGGGGCCTGACCCTATCTGCTTCATCAGGGGTGCTCTTGTAAATCAATAAAATACACACAACTAAACTATACAGTAACATGTTTGGGTTTGGCCACACTCAAATCTCTATCCAAGTGGTGTACACGCCCGACATGCCCTGCCAGTGATCGCACCACATCTTTGCATGCATGCATGTGTGTATGTACATATAATATATCCTATTGTTCGTCGTGGCCGCGTTTCTTCAAAGACCGGACCAACTGCAGGAGCTCCTCCTTATGACTGGTGCACTCTGAAATCTTTTCGATGGCATGCAACTCGGCTCCATAGTCTACCAAATTAAAATGCGATTGGTCCTGCCAACCAAAAAGTGTACAAAAATCAGTTCAGAGACAAATAAAACACTCATAAGCAATCCCTATGATTGCTATTTAGCGCGATACACCAACTTTGGGATGGCGTTCGTCAAAAGTTAGGCGCTGCAGCTGTGAAATTGCTCCGGAAATCTTCAGCTGGTCAGACCGTGAGGCTTTGCTTGACAATCCGTGACATGTGGCTGTACATATATCTGGGTAAATTACAATATTTCACTCACCTGAATTAAGGCCATAAAAGGGGATGATTTCCCTTACTAGCCATGATTTCCAGTGAGGTCGTAGTGAGGTCGTTGTAATTTACCCAGATATATGTGCATCTTTTTGGACACTAGTAACCCACCCATTTGGGAATTGTTTATACCAACTCTAAAAATGGCAATGACCGGGGCACAACTATTTCTGATGACTGGGGGATGGTGCGGATGGCCTTTACCCACAGTACTAGATCATATTAAGCACTTCCCCATTGCAGCTCTCGTTCATTGGGTCGAGCGTCTTATCCCACAGCACCAGCATCCGCTTGGATTGCTTCCTCGGATCCAAGGTGAATACACATACACACCCGGAATTATGATGCCGATGCATAATTCCGGGTATTGTACATATCTAAACATATAATATTATATAGTATACATATATGAATACATATTGTTTATTATATGATAATAGCAAACGTATGATATTATATGGTACCGGGAATTATGATTAGAATGTATTATACATACATATACATACATATATATATATATGTATTGGGGTAATATATTCGTAATTGGAGATGTTGTCGTGGTACAGAACATTTAGTGGGATAGTGATATCAACAATGATCTGAATTGTCTGAAGATGGGGTTTCCTAACATGGGACCCCAGGTTGTCATCCAAGTTCTTCATCATTTTCATGGAAAATAAACTCATTTTGAGGACCCACATTTAAAGAAACACCCATGTTGGCTTGTCTAAAAAGGGTGGACAACATACAGCATCGCAACTCTATGATATTTCAATATATTTCAATGAGAAAGTGATGATGAACACTGACAATTTTTGAAAATCATGTTTTCAGGCGAACCCATATGTAAGTCTGGACGCCCATGAATAGTGTGGTTAACATATGACATACAATGATGTTTGGTAACTTGTCGAAAAAACACACTGTGGACATATCCCATGTATCAATCAACGGATTGATTTGGAGGAAAGTCGACAGGGAACCATGGTATTTTCCATTACCCTCTGGTAAACTAACATATCTATGGAACATCACCATCTTTAGTAGGTAAATCAACTATAAATTGGCCATGTTCAAAAGCTATTTTGACATAACCAGAGGGTAAATATGGGGGCAATGTTTCCCATAAACCAATCCAATGAATCAATGCTTCAGAAATTTGCGCCATGAGGTGATGAAGGGCAAGCCAGATGTGTTTTGATCCATGATTAGTGGGCTCCCCGGATGCCCAGTTGCCAACCATCAACTTGTTTCAGGGATCATCCAGAATCTAGGCTGACTATCAAACAGATTCTCGTGTGGATATATTGAACTAGTTAGATGGGTTATAAAACTTCCGGGCCCCTTCCTCTACCCACCAAAATACCATTATGTTGCCTATACTCCCTTATATCCCAATGGAATATCGCCATTTTGAATGCTTGAATCCACAATTATGTTCGCATTTTTGAGGCTTAACCCCCCATGTTTGATGGTTTGATTCATACCTAAGTGGAATGGTCACTACAGGAAAGGCCCCTTGGATAGGTAAAGTAGTTTATAACTAGACTGAATACATCTAAAATATCTATAGTTAGATGGGTTTATAAACCAACAAACACAATTTGGGGGTCTCTTCCCGTACCCATCCATTTATAGGGTTGGTCCCCATTCTATTCTTATTCTATCCCACTATACCACTATTATAGTTAGTAGGTCATTCCCATTGGACAACACGACCTTTTCCAACGGCCGTTGTGTTTGGTCGTTCCGCAGACGTTATGACCGAGGCACAAGATACCGCTCATACTTCGGATGCCATCGGCCTTCTTTCGAAGGTTCGTCTGATGGATACAGCATGCATCCAGAAAGACCCCCTCCTGGGCGTGCGCGCCGATGGGTGGCTAAATAGGGGGGGATATCAACCAACAAGATCACATGGGGATTTCTTAAAATGGAGGATCCACAAGCCACCATGGGTTTCTATACTAAAATTGTTTAATGACTTGGATGATTTGGAGCTACCTTCCACTTCAGGAACCTCCATATATGGCATTTGTTCTCTTTCACCTATTTTGTTCAGCTAACGTCGGGATTTCACAGGGATGCTCCTCAAAATGTTTGGATTTGTCAAGAGCGAACCCTAACCACCAACAACCACGTTTTAAGGGGCTAATCTTAGTAATCCGCTATTTGAGGGGTCACCCTTGGGTGGTAGTACGGTATACTGCCATATCCCAGTATATCCCCATTATGGTTCCCTCCACTTTTGCTGGTCGAAACCTCCATTTGTAGCCACTAAGATGGTTGACAGGTCATTCTTTTGATTATCCCACCAAATATCCACATTTCTACATACCTATCCCATCTCATCCCCATTATGTCCCACTAGTTTTGGTTCTTAAGTCCTTATTTAATAAGTCATCAGGGCATCACCATCGTCAAACCAGCCCCGGTGCAGTGCGTGGCCACAACAAAAGCGTTAGGAAGAACAGGATGGAGCCTGTGGGCGCGGTTGCGTTAGCCAACTATGGCTGTCCAAAATATAGGGCGGCGGTGGTGGTGGTGGTGGTGGTTCTTGGTGGTGATGATAGTAGTAGTAGTAGTAGTAGTAGTAGTAGTAGTAGTAGTAGTAGTAGTCGTAGTAGTAGTAGTAGTAGTAGTAGTAGTAGTAGTAGTCGTAGTAGTAGTCGTAGTCGTAGTCGTAGTCGTAGTCGTAGTCGTCGTCGTAGTCGTCGTCGTCGTGGTCGTGGTCGTGGTCGTGGTAGTGGTAGTGGTAGTGGTAGTGGTAGTCGTCGTCGTAGTAGTAGTAGTAGTCGTCGTCGTAGTAGTCGTAGTAGTAGTAGTAGTAGTAGTAGTAGTAGTCGTAGTAGTAGTCGTAGTCGTAGTCGTAGTCGTAGTCGTAGTCGTCGTCGTAGTCGTCGTCGTCGTGGTCGTGGTCGTGGTCGTGGTAGTGGTAGTGGTAGTGGTAGTGGTAGTCGTCGTCGTAGTAGTAGTAGTAGTCGTCGTCGTAGTAGTCGTCGTCGTCGTAGTAGGAGTAGGAGTAGGAGTAGCAGTAGCAGTAGCAGTAGCAGCAGCAGCAGGAGCAGGAGCAGGAGCAGGAGCAGCAGCAGCAGCCGCAGCCGCAGCAGCTGCCGCCGCCGCCGCCGCAGGAGCAGCAGCAGCAGCAGGAGGAGGAGGAGGAGTAGTAGTAGTAGTCGTAGTGGTCGTGGTCGTGGTCGTGGTGGTGGTGGTGGTGGTGGTAGTGGTAGTTAGTGGTAGTGGTAGTGGTAGTGGTGGTGGTGGTTTTTGGTGGTGATGATAGTAGTAGTAGTAGTAGTAGTAGTAGTAGTAGTAGTAGTAGTAGTAGTAGTAGTAGTAGTAGTAGTAGTAGTAGTAGTGCTACTACTAATAATAACAATAACAACAATAAAAGCAATAGTAATATATGTACAATATCATGTATAGATATGCGCAATAGGAGACGTATACATGATATGCATACATGTCGTGATGTATTGTATATACATACATACATACATACATACATACATACATACATACATACATACATACATACATACATACATACATACATACATACATACATACATACATACATACATACATACATACATACATATGCACACCATATACACATGTTTCAGTCTGTCAATTGCGGAATACTACCCAACCTAAAATACCCAACAAACATATTTCTTAGTCTTGAAAATAGGATCGCAGAAATCTCACCATTGATGATCATTTTCCTAGTAAACTTAACCCTTCTGGTAGTCCCCAGTCTTGGGAAAACCCATAATTATGTCAATCAATCTGGGATACCCAGTATAAGATAGCAAGCGACACTGGTTCCAGTAATTCTCAGTGGGATATGACATCTTCCTCGTGAAAATTGTTTTACACTATTTTACAACGGTACCTCAATAATTTTACCAGGAATCAATACATTTAATACTCTGGTGCTTGATGATTTCCAGTTGGGTTTTGGGGCTACCCCTTGAGTACTGGCATGATCTATCATCTATGGCGAAGTGATTGGCTAGTTCGATGAAGCCAACCCATCTATACAAGTGGCAAAGCTATATACTGCCAAAACACGGGCCTTGAGGTGAAGCCCTGGTATCCTGGAAACCCCAAAATACTGTCGTCGATAAAATATCCTGTCACTGCCGAGAGACCAAAGATGGTGCCCCAAAGGGAGATTTCACCTTGACAGGTTCAAGTTGAGGGCGTTTTCTCAACAGGGGGGATATCAACGCATGGGGATATGATATGGATATGATATGGATGCTCTCTTGGGTTTGGGATGTAAAACCGAGCATTTGAAATTGGGGTTGTGTCTGAAAATGGGGGATACCTCCAAACAACTTGACCAGGAGATTTTTGGGTATCATATTTTGAGACAAAGTTATTTGTGCTTAGTGGAAGTGACAGTTAGACAGCTGGGTATGTGAAATTAATGGGGTATTGATCACGTTGATGCCTGATCTCATGTACCCTGAACAGTTTTGAGTATGATATTCCGAGCAAAACCTGGCTCAAATTTAGCGTCAACCATATCAAAGATTTATTCATAGATCATAATGCTTAATGCTTACAAGACTGGAAACATACAGTAGCTAATTGATGCGCATCGTGCTCGAAGGTGATGTGATAAAGTGTACGAAATACCAGCTGCTTTGGATAATTTGTACTGCCGTGGCCGGTTTGTGGCTTCAACAAATGGAATGGGAATACATGAGGGTGATAATCAATTGGGGAAATCAGCCAGCACAAATCTGTTTCAACATGGGCCATATCCAGTGGTTGGGCGCTGTAAACTCATTCGAAAACATCCAAAAACATGGCAATTGAGACTTGACCACAAGACATGGGAAAGTCAAGGTATCCTTGCACGCAGAAAAACAACAGAGGATCTTCATAGGTTTTGCTGGGGGAATCTGGCAATGCAGCAATAGATGACGTGCGTGACAATGTCATAGTTTATGTCACATGCTTGTCTCCTAGGTTATATCATACAATGCTACGATATATGAGAGAACGAATTTGCCGGCTGCCAGTGTCTGAACATAAGCTAGTCCCATTCCATCCAGTGGTTTGAAAGCTCATTTTCCTATCATGCGATCGCAATTTTAGTGGTAAATCCCTCATGTTCAGACACATCTAACATATCGTTGCCATATCCCATCATATCCCATCTCCTGATTCCTGGTTATATCCCGTTCCCATATGATAAGCACCCATTTATCCCCGTTTCAGACATCACGTGGGAAATCTCCGGCGCCCTCGCCCTTGGTTGTCCGACCAAAGGGAAAACTCGGGGAGAGCAGATTGAAACCTCAGGGCATGGGGATGCAGCGATGGTGGGAACTCTCGCCATTTGGTGCGAAACCTTGAAGTCCCATAGAAAACATACTTGGTGGCTCCCAGCAAGTAGGTTAGTTCACCCTAGTTGTAAGTAGATTCATCCTGCTTATCCCACTTGTAACTAGGGATGTAACCCACTTAGGATTCGTGGGACGGGCCATCAAGCATGTAGAAAAATGATGACACTTTTTGACCTACTGCTTCCTAATCAAGGTCCTAGGGTGGTTTGTGATGCTTAAACGAGAAATAAGTGGTTTAACATGGTTTAACCATCAAAGTCATGGTGATTTAAGCAACAAACATCGTGGTATATTGTTTAGTGGGGACGTAGTGGTAGGTTTCGCAGCTTTGGGATAATTACAATATTCTAGGACAAAACAGCTACAACAATCTTGAATGAGGACTCACATCAACTGGGTGGGATAATAATTACATTTAAGCCTCACACATGACGAACAATGGGGATTTGACCAAGGGGCCGTTGCCAGCCAAAATGGGAGATAAGACGCGAGTATTTAACGAAGGCAAATGGGATTCCCTTTGATTCATTGGGCTATTCTTTTTGAAATCTTTCAAGATGTGGTGACTCTAGCATCAAACATAGGGATTTTCGATACAGTTTCCCATCAATTCTGAACAGTATAAACCCTCAAAACTGTTTGTCTGAGAAACAGAAACAAAGTGCAACCGAGAAACCTAGACAGAGCAGTCTGTACATGGGGATATGAACCATGAATGACCATGAGACAATCAGATTTGGTGTACAACTTGGTCTGCAGTGTCACATTGTAGCTGCTTGAAAACCCGCCCATCAAACAGCCAGAATTGCAACAAATTAAAGGTCAAGAGTCTAGCACTATCCCAAAAGACGAAGAATTCCATAAAAGAATATACAAGATGAGAAGGGCGATTGAAAATGGTCAGGTGATGTGTTTTGGTCTTCCGCTGGACATCAAAATGGATCGCCGTAGCGTCCTTTGGCTTGCTAAGCATTCCACAACAACTGGGCTATCTGGGTGTCACATCCTACGAAGGACATGTTCGACAGACTGACAGTGATCAGGTTTTCTGAAAAACACCATGCGGAATCTTGGTTCTGAAAAAACATGGTGCAGTTTTCTCGAGCTGCCCCTTTGGCTTGCAATTTTGACCCTTTTGACCCACGAACAGCTTCCAAAGATATGCTCCGGCCTGGATGAACATTGCCATTCTCCAACAATTGGCCACCGCTGAACCACAAATCAGTTCAAGGCACCCACAAAGGAAATCAGAAAACCGGTTAAGACTCAACTGGAAAACTGGTAGGTGAACTCCTTCCTAATACAAGCACCCCACAGAACCTCTGGTTCATTGGTGGGTTGTTGGATGTATTCATTTGAGCTCCCTTTTCGAGGGGTGCTTTCTGATCAGGTTTTCAATGCATCCAAGAGACCCGTTAGGGTGCAACCGAGCAATGCACCCAAGGTACCTGCGGAAATATCTTCACAACTCACACTGCTTGGTAGGGATTCCCAACGTTCGCAAATGATATTATGATAGCAAAAACAAAAGCAAAATGGAACAGTCAGTTATTCTACCTAGTGATATAGCCATTTCCTTTTCCATCGTTTTTGGGGTGACTATGCCCTCTAACAAAATTCAAGACGTTTTAGTGGAATCTCTAATATGAGCGTATCGGAAAAGACCAATCCGAATTGCTCCGTTGCAGCCTGGCGTAATCCCAGGGCATTGACACCTTGTCCGCCCGGGTCATTTATTGGAGGATTGATGTGGATAACTTCCCAAAAGGCAATTGGCCATTTTGATAGGGGGACTTAGCTGTCATACATTGCCCATATTCATCAAACTGGCAAACAAAATCTAATTATTCCATAAAAATCAAGCTAGAGTACAGTAAACCATAGAAACTCAATCATAAGCATCCAGGTAATTCATCAACTTAAAACCATAGAATTTCAGTTAAAACAACTCTAATTGACATCCCGATCCCCGGTTTCCAAAGCGCCAAGCGCCCTGCCCGGCGCACCCATGATGCCAGCTGGCAGTCCTGGAGATGGCCGTTGTAAAAAACCTCCCTAGTTGTGAAAAAGGGGCAACGCCTCTAGATTCATCAATTCATGTGAAAATGACTGGAACTCCCAAGACTTGCCATGCCAAGGCACCTCGTTTCAAGAAGAGAAGGGTGGAAACCTTCTTCCACGGTCTCCTTTGCCAGCCTAAGTGGCACCTTTCGTCCCATGGCCCATCACACAGAATTCAGGGAAGATAAACCTTCCCATGGGGGTATTTCTGCACTGGCGTGACATGTTCATTTACAATCACATCCAAACCATCATTGGGCAAGGAAGGGTGGTCATGAAGCACTTGTGAGTCGGCCATTCGAAAATGCCGAATCTGGGATTTTGGTACCCGAACATGTCG